TTTCTATCTCTATTACCATCTCTTTCTTATTATACTTTTTCAAATAATTATGCTCTTATATTATTAAAGATGTTTATTTATATCCAATATATTTAGACTTTTTATATATGACATGAAATACTATATTCAAATTCGAACTAATTGTTCGTAATTTAAAATTAATAGTTTGTATGCCAATCTTTCACTATAGTCCCGATCAAATGTAAATATTTCAAAAATAAAACTCTAGAAAAACTATTGCAAGTTTTAAGCGTAATTATTATCGAAATAAATTATAATTATGAATGTAAATATAAAATTAATTCAAGATTTATTTTACATGTACCTATAGTTTTCCAAATACATTTATTGAAATCATAATGATCTTTTATCAATACTTTGTAATTGTTCGAAAATGATGTAGTTTAATTTCTTGGCTCAAACTGCCAATGTTGCGATTGCTCTAATAATCCCCCCCCCCGCCCGCCCGCCCGCCACGACAAATGCAAATGCTCAGCGAGAAATTAAGTGGAATTATCGTGTCTTTTGATGAATATATGATTTAATTTAAAATTTATAAAACAATTACATATTGGTGTATTGTATATGCATCTAAAGTTTAATTGTAAAGATGCGATTTCTTGGAACGTTTCTTGTGACGGATGTTTCACTACACAAGATGATCCTCGAGTCACGGACACGGACTGGACTTTGTGTACTCACAGTGATACGGTGGCCTTGATCTCATCCTGGGATGAGTAGTTGAATATTATTCACGATCCAAATGTCCGGGAGTGCGTGCTTGGTAGTCTGGTCCTTTCGTGATATAAAGGAGATATAACTTTAACACTTATCGACTGCTGCACAGGAGGTTTTGTGTATCTTCCTTCTGGTCAGTGGGTCACTTAATAAAACTTCATCATTAGTTTCCACTTGGCTTCCCCACGCATACACCGAACAAATTAGGCTTTAAACAATGACAACGTCGTAAAAAGTAACTTTGGCAGCAGCGCCTTCGATTGTGGGGAGGCTCACCCCTTTCCGGGACTTGGCGACGTTGCCGGTGGTCGGGCGGGAGGGGTTATTGGGGCTTGGTGGTAGGGGAGGTAGGGAGGTGTTGTTGGTAAAACGTCTTCGTTTGGCCTATGCAAGTGGCAACGCGTGGATATGCAAACGGCAACAATGTATGCGTAAGTGATGTCCCGTGACATTGATGGCATCGACGACACACGAGGATTGGCCGATGTCGCACGAGTTGGATTTCTCGTTAAAAACGAATTTTAGGAAATATTTTTCAACTCGATTGTTTATATATTTCTCTCACTCTTGACATATTCTCGTATAAACAGACTCGGCGCGCTCTTGCTAGCTAAAACCAACGGTCGTTTACTGCGCTTTCCGAGCCTCCAATGACCCTGGAAGAATTTTTATAATAATTATGACTCTTGCTATTTTTCCCCAAATTAATACACGAAAAATTCTTTCAATCTCGAACAGTAATCATGTGATGAAAAAGCATTTTCTCATAGTATAAATATGTTAATAAGTTATGTAACCTATATTTAAGCAAACAGTTATATTATAATTCGTAAACAAAATATTTATAAATTAATTAATAACGCGTTTGTTGATACTACATGCATTAAATAATCCACTTGTAAATAAAATTAGTATTAATATCGTGTAATACTCAATTTTAGATATTTGTTTGTTTCATATAAAATTAATAGTAATGTTAAAATGTAGAGTAATTATAATATTATTTAATTTGTAAACAGATACATCGAATATATTAAATAAATAATAACTTTGTAAAGAGGGATTTCCATTATTACTCATAATCGCGCAATTTTCATAAAGACAATGTAAAGAAATTTAAACTTAACTTAACTTAATATTTAAGATATAATTATACACGTTTAAAGCGAAAACATAACTTATAAATTAAATTAGAATCCCAACTCACGTTGCTCTTGTAAGGATAACTCCGCAGTTTAACCACCACACCATTAATGTGGCGAATGAAAATTTAAAAAATATTATTGTAAATTCAAAGTACAAGGGAATAATGTCTGGGGAAAAAAAAAAAAAAAAAAAAAAAACACCGCGTGAATTGCAATCCAGGTGATTGTGCATTGATAATAAATCAGACTATCGAAAAATTCATCGTAAATCAAAAATCGGCATTATCAATATCATTCGTACTTAATTTCAATCTAGCCTCGAGATGAAAGAAAAAGTAGACATCTTTCATGAATAGATTAAAGATGTTTGCCTTACATCGACACAAAGTTTATTGTGCCGAGCACAATCCGAGCACAAAAATAACGACACACCAAGAAAGCAGTATGTTTTTTTTACTCTTCTTCTTCTTCTTCTTCTTCTTCTTCTTCTTCGTCTTTGTCTTCGTCTTCGTCTTCGTCTTCGTCTGAAGTCTTCATCTTCATCTCCATCCACCCTTCAACTATATAATTTTATTTTAATATCGTGTATCTAGACCGTCGCAACCTCATACGCTCAAACCGCTTTACCATCAAACTCGTTGCTCCTCAACACCTTCCGGCTCCTACCTTTTTATTTTTCTTTGCCATCTTACACTTTCCATATACTACATAATCTACATTCTATTCTCTTAATTATATTTAATAGTATATTTGGCTTGCTATATATTTAAATAAATATTAAGGATTTGTATAATAATTTTGAATATTGAACTTTTAATTATGCATTTTATAATATAAGAATGGTTTATAAGAATTTATAAGGTTTATAACTATTTGTAAGATTCCGGAAATATTTTAGAATTACAATTTATTTAACTTGTAAAAGGAGCTTAACGAATGTAAACTTAATAAGCTGAATAATATTTAGTGGTATTCAATTTTTGAAATGTAATTTTCTCAAAGTTTTAACGGTTTTGAAAAATCCATTTCCACTATTAACATAAAAGTAATAGAATAACGTAATTCCTTGCGAATATATCCCATTTTTAATTACTTCAACGAGGCTATTTGTACCATATTTTTTTAATTTATGTAACAGTAATCTATCTTTAGTATTCCCCTTCCCGATTTTTTCCACATTCTCTCTCTCTCTCTCTCTCTCTCTCTCTCTCTATCGTTATCTTTACCTTTTTACTTTTTTCTCTCGACGTCGTCGAACGAGCTGAGCACATTTGTTAATCCGAGTTCCACTGAAATCCAGACTTTTTCCATTTTACCCAAACGACATCCCTTCCTTTCAACTTGGTTCGAGAGTCGCTTTGATTCGTCGGATTGCCCCTCCGTCGCACTTTTAAGCGAGAGAAAACCTTCACTTTTTTCATTCCTTTTTATTATAATTTTTCCACTCGCGGAGAACTCGAGCTTTCTCACCCTTGCTTGCTCCTTCCTCTTTCTCTCGCTCATGCATTAACCCCCCCCCCAAACTCCTCACCATATCAATCTGTCTATTTATCTCTCTATCTATAGGCGTAATTTACCTACAACGACGAAATGCAAAATCATAGCTCGCAATTAAAATCAAGGGACACATCAGCTAGAATCCGAAATGCAACTGCTAATAATTAAAATTATTATTACAGGTGTTTGTCTTTCATGTAGATACATTAATTGCATGCAACTTCAAAATATAATTTATAGTATGTAATTATAAATAATATACATATGTTTAGTTTAATGAAAAGACTTTTAAGTTCTAACGACTTATTTTATGTTTAAAAAACGTTTAATAGAATGGAATAGGAATGGAATTCTAAATATAAGATATTGCAAGATTAACTAATTATAAAGATATCCTATTAATATTAGGAATGGATTATTTTATTTTGTACATACAAATCATTTTTTAATTTTCTGCAACTAGTATTGAAATTATAATTTTAATATCGTTTTTTTTTTTTTTTTTTATCGTTAATATTGACGATAAATGCTAGTATAAAATTTATTAAGAAATTTTGTATTTATAAATACTATTGTTAAATTATGATTTTCATATTATATCACATGTTTCAGATTGAAACATAATTCTGATGATTCTTTGTTAATTAATTATGCTTATTGATTGTATTAGAATATTAAACAATGCTTTGTAAAATTATAAATATATATTTGGTACTATTATTAATAAATCCTTGTGTGACTTATCTTTTTTTAAACCTATAACGTAGCTATTTTAACAGATATTATTTTTAATTTATAGACTAATCATTATAATAGCACTGTGTAGTTTATTTCCATATCATTATTTATGTTATATGCTTCTGATCGTTGCTGGTGAATAAATCTTGTTAAGCATGAAATATCGAAGAATTTGAAAATAGTATGAATGAATTGGGACACGATTTTTCATGATGTAAAGTTTATCTTAATAATAAAGAGAAATTGACAAAGAAATAATTATCGTAAACACAAATGATAAATTAGTACAACAAATATTTCGTTACACTTTACTGTACATAATTTACCATTGATATCGTTAACTCTCAACTTTATATTGCCGAAACATCTTGAATAATTTGACGTATAAAATAATTAATTGAATATATTTGCCACGTATATTTGACTACGTAAAGTAAATGGTAAAAGTGAATAGAAGAAAAAAAAATAATGAATGCTTACAAATATTCACATTTCTTTAATGTAGCTTTGATAAATGATATGCAAGAACAACATTTGTATACGATCTACCAACAATATATTTGATCTTTAACCAGAATTATTCAGCAGTTATGTAATCCAATGATTGCATTCTATCTTTAATAATATAATGACATTTAAATGTACGATATAGTCCATCTAATTTGACGCAATAAATATCCGTAATACGAAACTGTTTGAGTATTAGTTGATTGAACAACGTAAAAACAAAAACAAAAACAAAAACAAAAACAAAAACAAAAAAAATAAAAAATAAAATAACGATAAACAGACAAAGGGTATAGGATGAAATTGCGTGGAGTGAGAAGGACCGATTATAACCACGAATCCCCAAACCAATGTTATTTATCATTATTGGTAAAGGGTAAGGAGATACCGATATACATATGGTACGAAGCATACCCGGCGCACAATGGTGCAGGATACGAAGGTCGCGTGTCCAAGGTCAGTCCCGACTCGCACTACGGGGTTGCGAGCCTCAATCTAACCAACATCCAGGAAAGCGATCAAGGCTGGTACAAATGTATCGTCGCCTTTCTCAATCGGTCGCCCAACAATAAGAATGGTACCTGGTTTCACCTCGACGTTCACGGTATGTTTACCACTCACATGTACGGCACTTAACACTCTTGCAAAAATAATAGCTTCTCTAACTCGCTGACACTTGGTAAATTTAACAAATTATATTCTTTCGTATAGTTGAAAACATTACGTAGAAAATATCGTTGATATTACTACATTGTTTTTAGCAAAACTGTGTAGCTACAAAATTATTACAAACATTCGCATCAATAATCATTATCTCAATAAACGTTCTATTGGGTAATGGTAGCCTTTCATCTTAAGCTGTAAAACTAATTTGTTATTTGTTACTATCTGTTGAATAGTGATACAATAATCAAATATTTTGACATGTTAGATCGTGTTCTCTTTACCCGTGAAAATTATTAGTCAATTAAAGATAGTTTATATTTCCGTTTTCATTATATATGATTGAAATTTGTAATATTACAGTTACATTTAAAAAAAAAAAAAAAAAAAAAAAAAAAAAAAAAAAAAAAAAAAAAAAAAAAGGGACGCACAATCGACTAAAGATAAAATATCGGTGGTAAAAAACAATTTCTGATTCGTCAAGTATAATTATATGAAAATTTTTGATAAGCATTTTTTTATAGGATAAATTTCTTATATCTCGGGATAAGGAAGAAAAGGAAACCACCAGTTAAACTAAAAAAAATTTAATCTGTTCGAAAATGTCCATCAGCCCCTTGCATGACTCCTCGAACGGACAATGGAATATATTAAATCTAAATTTATGCACCAAATCGCTCGGAAATCATTAATCGTTTATTTGTTAACTATTGACAGCACCACCTGCGTTCACAATAACGCCCGAGGAGATGATCTATGTAAATCTAGGCGACGCGATTATCCTAAATTGCCAAGCGATGGGAACGCCAAAACCGGAAATTCTCTGGTTCAAGGATGAAAGTCCGGTGGAGCCCTCGTCGACGATCAAGATCATGAACGATGGCACCGAGCTCAGGATCTCGATGATTAAGACAGAGGACATTGGCGATTACACTTGCCTCGCGCGTAATGGCGAGGGACAGATAAGTCATACTGCCCGCGTTATCATAGCAGGTCAGTGTACACAATGCTCGACAATCCATGATAATACGTTTAATCTATGTGTTTCTTAGTTTTTGCGTTGAGTTGAAACACTTGCCGATAAAAAAGCTATAAATTTCGGAAAAAATTTGCATTTTTCCATCGATATTAGACTATTCATCTTTTCCAAACAGCATGAAAATTGCTTATCAATTTAAAGCATTTACAGTATATACCATATTTATTAATAATTTACATATTTGTTACAACGTTTTATAATTACGGTGAAATAAATGCAATTAATGGCAGTGGGGAAGTTCAACTCACAATTAAATTCGGCAAGTTAAATTAACTACACTTTAAAAGTTTATGTATATACGTATTTGTGAGTCTAATTTTAATGCGTAGGTGCGAAACTAAACTTCAAACATAATACAGAAATTCGCTTAAATTGCATAAGCAATAAACTGTTCTTAATAATCCTTACCTCAACTACTGATGAAAAAGTCACATCAAACGGATTGAAAATCTTGAAATATCTTGGAAAATATTTTAAATGACTGTGTGTGATGATGATGCAATCTCACCAAACATTGGATTTAAAACGTTAATTAACAGATTAATAATAAAAATAGTACAGTTAAGACGACAAAGGCAAGCGAATTAAACGAATAACATAGACACTTGGTTCTTCCTTTATGAAAGTTTTTCTCAACTTATACGGTTTTGATCTTACACAATAATACACAATAATGTTAATGAATAAAATAATCATACAATATATAAAGAATTATTTATAACTTATAGTATGAATAAGATTATGTAATTTTAATATCATTAATACCATAATACAATTTTCCATTTCAATATATTAATATTTCATTGACATTTAACGAATTTAATTGTTACACGAAATTAATAATTATTAATTTCAATTAATTAATTTAACGCGATAAATTAAATAAAAATTAGTTTTATAAGCTTCATTATGATGAACTGTACTACTTATTTAAAATTAAAAATTACATGCAGTAGCTGCAAGTTGTTTATTTAATAAGCATGCCATTCTAAATAAATGAATTGCTTATTATTTATGTTAATGAAAACTCTACTAAATAATCACTGTACAATACGGATTATTAAATAAATCTGAATCCTCGAATGTTTTCAATTCACAACCTTATATCCAATGCAAAAAACGTACGGCCATGTCTACGTGCCTATAAACATACGTTGTAAAAAGCATTCGCATCAGCTACTACGTGACCTGAGAAAGAAAAAACATAATAATTTTAAATCGTAAAATCTAAAGTCTGCGGAAAAACTGAGTTGACGCAAAATTACATTGCTCCTGTACAGTGGAATAAAGTTTAAAGAAAATTACCTATAAGTTTAGACGTAATGAACAGCAATATATAATTTGTGTTTGAGAGCAAACATTTGGATATGGATCTTATAACTTTAGGAGCTTATTAAATGTAGATCAGTTAGACCAATATTGCGATATTGGTTATTAAATAGACGCACCATTAACAGATGTTACCTGATTGTAAACAAAACATAAATCATGATTTATTATTATTATTATTATTATTATTATTATTATTATTATTATTATTAACAATGATTACTTTATCATCATTTGTCGCAAGTATAATGGAATTTACTAATAATTAACACAAAGAAAATTACTTCAAATTACTATTGAATTAAATTGTACCAAGTACGCTATATATTTAGTCTGACTTTAAAATACGTGACCGATAAATAAAATAAGATAAAGCATCGTACCGAAGTAAGTTAGAGATATAAACGCGCATTCTTCTTTTACAATAAATTCTCTGGTCCAAAAATGAAATACTTAAGCTTTTGAGAAAGTTGGAGGTTAAATTAATTAATGGATTTTTTATTCTTTAAATTTATCGATTCTATAGACATCTAATTCGAGAACGAATAATCTTTTTGCATAATTCAATTGTATTGTAAAATCTTTCATTGATGCGAGCGCGCGCGCGTGTGTGTACCCCACTCCAAAGAATACCACAAATATATGATTCACATAAGGGCCAAGTGGTTAGGATACAATTTTGACTGGAATCTATCTCATGAAGGTACGAGCCAGCATCTCCGACAGCCAATTAAGACTGAGCAGAGGGCGTCGTAACAACGATTTCTCTTCCCTTCGTCGTTCCTTCTTTTCTACTTAGTTTTTCCGTACTTGGCGCCGTACTCGCCCCTCATTCGCATTCGAGCCTTCCCCGTAACATTGAAAAAGAAAAAAAGTCGAATCAGAATTTCGAGGATACTTTAAACCGAGGGATTATTATATAGCCACTCGGTACGTAACCAATCGAACGGATAAGTGATTATTGCCGCGAAAAGCCGGGACTTGTTTTACGATCGTTATGCGATTGCGCAGTGCTTTCGGCTTTGTTTATCCTTTGAGTTCACGGACCTCTGATGAATTCGATTTCCCCAGAATAGCTGTAAGGCCAAGGATTCCCAGTCTTCGTAGTGGCTACTACTCTACATTTGCCTAAAGTCCCGAAAGGACAAACTACGGGGACTGTTGATGATTAGCCGAAAGGGGCCGAATGCCGCTGCTAACTTCAAAACTACTAAGTGCAGTGTTACATTTCCGAACAATATTTAAAAATAAAAACAAAAAGAAAAGTAGAAAAGTATAAAAGTGAAATGGTCGAACGCTTTATATCTAATTTTAATAGCTGAATAATAATGTTATATTATCGTACATATAATATTATTAAAAAAAAATAATAATAACATAAATAATAATAATACTATTATTAAATTGAAATAAAATAAAATAATTAATTCTCTGCTTTAAATTGTTAATTATTCGTAATATACGTAGATCCATTATCTCTTATAAGCTATAATTTTTGTAATAAAATTAAAAAGCTTCGAAACTAAGAGAAAAATATTCGATTCATTTGTGATTCGTTAATTGTAAATTAACTCTGGTTGTAAAATTCAGTAATTTGTATGTATAATAATTGCATGAGTGTCAGTGATAAAAATATTTATTAAAAATTAAAAAAATTTTATGTATTAGTAAATGTATTAATAATATATATATATATATATATATATATATATATAATAATTATTATTATTGTTATTATCATTATTATTATTATTATTATTATTATTATTATTATTATTATTATTATACATTAATATATTTTTGTATTAGAGATCAGTAGATCAGTATAGATAGAAATTTTAAAACAAATCTCATTCGGTAGTTGCAATCTTCGTTTTAATACGATCACTAAAATTCATGAATATATTTCAAAATTTTCTTGAAGATTATTTATAATTTTTAAAGCTGAATTATTGAATAAAATATATAGTTCGAGAAGTGCATGTATAAATCTTGCTAACCATGTCATTTTTAATCATATAAACTTGATAAAAAACGAAACTGTGAACCATTTAATTCTCTTACCTCCATAAAAAATTAAAAGCAAGCTTTCTAGTGAGAAAGCTGTAATAGATATTCGAGGTACACACGAACAAATCTCTAAAAGCTAATCTTATCATTATTTAAATAATTTTCGTCAAAGGCATGCCGAATTTATTAACTTAAGAGAGCCCTTTGCGACGTTCACGTTCTTTAACAAATGCGTTCTTTGAACAATTTTTTCTTTTTCCGAAAAACATGGACATTCTAATGAGAGCGACGTTCGCCTGTTAAATGCATGGCACGTCAAATAAGTCATATCATCCGCGCACTCAGCGTAAAATTATCATTTTTGCAACGATGATACGATTAGATTACCATTGTATCGCATTCTCCATATTTCTCCCCGTAATGCCCGTAACAAGCGTCAAGGGAAAAGTGAAAAGCCAGCTTTGCGGCTCGACCTGCGAACGAAAAATCTAATTCAAATTATCGTCCGTGAATGTGGAGTACGATCGGCAAGAAAAGCGAGTGGACCACCTAGTGGATTACATTAATTAAGGTAATCACCGCGAGATCGTAGCGATTGGGAGCAAATGATCAAATGGGACCGTCCTCGTTGAGCTTGTCGAACGACTGCCTCCGATCCCTGTAGACGTCGCGCTCAGCAGACTCAAGCCCCTCCCCCCACCCTGCCCCGAACCGCCCACCGCCAGTTATCCAGGCATTTTTCTCCTCGACTCGTCGTCTCCTCCGCCTTTATTCACCTCCGAGAGGCCTACTCGAAATTCATGCTCCCGCGATTATAACCGACTGCTTTAAACGCGTGACTCGCGCGCACGCAGCTACTCTTGAATATCATTAGCCTCCTTTTCACCCTCCGGCCTTTCTTTCCTCGGCTCCGACTCCGACTCCGCGATCGTTGCACTTTGCGCGCCCGCGCACTCCAAGAGCCCCAAGGCATAGGCGTGGACGGTAGGACGAGCGCCCGGACAAGACTGACTTCCCTCGGGGCGACTGATCCCGCCGTTATCCCTCCTCTCTGTCCCGACCCGCCGGCACTTGACGTCTTCTCGGCTGAACTTTGAACCTCGGATCCTTAGCTTCCTTGCTGCTTAATTCTGCCTGGCGCGTTAAGCGTAGTCACTTTTTTTTTTTCTTCTGGCATTCGTCGCCCGGGCATTTGGTGAAACTGCTCGGTGAAAGCGCAGATAAACCAAAGCCTCTTTGGTTAACTCCTTTCCACCGAAGCTTATTGTCGACTTGGACTCCTTAAATAAACATCCTCGATGTATAAACAGTGTCGACTGCTATGGCTTCTTATTAATTGACGACTGCGCGTTAGTGATGTCAGTGACATGAAGAATTTTAATTTAAATGGACATTTGAGAATGATATTCGGTGACCTGGTTAGATTTATCCAATTGAATGTACTAATTTTCTTACTTTTTAATTACGTAGCAAATGATAAACTCAAAATCCGCAGTTTAAATACTATAATTTTTAAGCTAACAAAGTTTTCAACTTTTTAGCTTATTTTGTTAACATACATCGTTTGTAAATTTTATCGATATTTTTAGCCCGTAGAGAGAGAGAGAGAGAGAGAGAGAGCTAGCCGACATTTTCGTTATCTTTTCTGAAACAAAATACTCGCAGGGCAAAGAAAAAACGTATAAGGTAGACGCAAAGTTGAATTCGGAAAAAGATATATAGCAGTTGAAAAAGACGTAAAATCCGGTGATACGTAATCAGAATTCCTCACTGAAACAATGTTTTTATCTGTATGTGTTAGTTACTTTTCATTGAAAATAATATGTATTTTGTTTTATTTGTAGATTAATATTCGGCTTACTTCCATTCCGATACTTTTTGTTTTAATACTCAATCTAGTATTCTGTTTGCTCCTGAATTCGTTGACTGAAGATAAAACTGTTTTTATACGTCTAAGTATATAATATGAATAATCTACTATTAACCTAAAGCGTTTATTTTCTTATTTTTTTTTTTTTTTTTAGCTTGTTTAGTTTTTTTTTCTATTATTCTCATTATTTTTATTACGTATATCCAAAATTATTTGAAATTTGATAGAATTTAAAGTTTTGTAAACCTATTGTATTACATACTTATGGGAAATAATTTACTAAATTTGTTAAAAACCATTATTTAAATTTGTATATATAATGCCGCCATTTTTAATACACGTTAAGCAGTATTTTAAAAACAGTACGTTATAAAGCACCTTAAGTGTATTATAAAGTGTTCTATACTTTGGAATAATATCTAATAAATTTGTAGCAGACGTTAAATACAAAAACGTTCATTAAATAAACTCCACGATAAAAGCTCTCGTTTCATCTGCATTACATTTTCATCGCTCCATAATCACGAGAGGCAGGTATTTTTATGTGAGGCAAGCTTTTACGAATACGTTGGAAATATCTTATGAGCCTATGCATTTACGGTGTCCCATTTGACCACCATCAAATTAGCCTATAAATGAATTAAACACGGATAGGGAATAATAAAAATTGCAAGGTTTGCTTAAAATTGTAATTTGGGCTCGGGTCCGATTATACATTCAAAATGCCTGCATATCGCGGAGTTCTTACATAATGTACCGAGGGAAAGGATTAATGATTGAATGCACGCTCACCAGTTCGATATTAAGAATACATTCCATCATCATTCGATCATTAGCAGTTCAGAGACGAAAGCGCACTTGTGGCGGATATCCAATTATCGGACAAAAGTCGCGTGTCCCCACTTGGCCAGACATCGACTAAAGGTGACATTGGCATTATCCCACCGAGTAGTTGTCCCAGTAGTTATGCGAGTCGCGGATTACAAAGTAATTTTCACGGGATGTTATGGAGAGCTTTTCTTCTCATCAGGAAACTGGAAACCTTAAAATTTTGAAACAGCCGCCCCAGGCGTTTTCAGTTCTGATACAAAGTCAGAGATTTTCCTATTTGGTTAATCCTCTTTTCTGTCTTGCGCAGAAAGCTTGTTTTTGAAAGGACAAGGAATTTGCTTTATCTTTTATTATGAGAGACTTTGGAATGTTTACTACGAAATCCGTAATAACCGATAAACCAATGTGTTTCAACAATGGTTTATTTAACCAATGCAATAATTTATTTTACAGCTTTTCCTCGTTTTGTTCATTCATTTTTCAGCAATAAAAATCTAGCATAAATAAATCTTTATTTTATTCTAAAACTTTACTCTCTTATTCATAATTTGTCACGTTTAAACAAAAAGAAAAAAAAAAAAGAAAAAAAAACATTAAAAATATTCGAGTATTACATTTTTTCCTTAATCGTAAATTTAAGTAATTTATTTAAAAGAATAATTTATTTAACATTTCTTAGAAAAATTGAAATCATCTCGTACGCTGACATAAATTAACTTTTTCTTTAAAATGTAGACTCAATTTATAAGTTTTTAAAATTCTCTCTCTCTCTCTCTCTCTCTGTATTAAAAAAGAGCGTATTATAAATTCTTGAAAAGTTGGCAAACTTCAAAAATAAAATTTTCTGTTTCGAAGAAATGGATAGTTTCTACATTTGAAATTTAAAAAATCTTAACAATAGAGTTTAATACGAGATAATAAATTTATTTATGCTATGATGTGTTATTCCAGTTGTTTTTAAAATCTACGCTATATTAATAAAATGAATGGTACTTGATTAATTTTGATTCTCATCGATCGAATAACTAATATAAATGTTATTATTTTAAAAGATTTCACTCGTTTTCCAGTAAATTCAGCAAGGTTGGTTGAATATGATAATAAATTGATAAATATTTTCTACTTTATCTGATGCACAATAATAACTTTCAATATTATAATAATTAAATTATAATTTAACATTATTCTTTAACATTATGCTCTTATAGGAATTTTGAATCAATTCACTTTAAATGTATGTATGGAGTTCTTTAACGCAATATCACCAAGTCAATAATATTAAACTCACTTTATACAGTATAAATTAGATTTTTATTCCAATTTATTATTATACTTAAGGCTCTATTAAATTCTATGACCCTTCTAATTCTATATAATTCTATATTTATTAAAAGTGATCGAACATTGTCGTATTACTTGTTTGTCTCAATGTACATTATCATCAACATTGTGAAATGAATTTAAGTATTTAGAAGGTTTTTATTTCTGATGATTTTCTATTTATAAATTTTACTATTTTATAAAAGTAAGTGTATAGCAATTATTGCAAGTGAAGCAATTTTTAATAATTTTTTATAATATTTCGAAAGCAATGTAACAGTATTTTATTTATTTAATCAAACATGAAATGCTGTAAAATTTAATTAAATGGTATCCTAGTAAAGAATCATCAATGTCCAATCAATAAATACTATTTATAGATTAACGTATGTTTAAAATACATTCTTAAACAAAACTTTAAAGCATAAAACTTACCAATGAAGGAAATTTTGTTTTTAATCTTTTCGCTAATTAGTTAGCGTCTGTGTAATAGATATGGATGACTTTAAGTACGTAAATGGTTCGTAATACTCAAGCGGAATCTACGAATTTTAAAATATAAATAAAATATCTGATATTTAGATAGTTCATATTTCGTCATAGGCTACGAATTCTCATACCCAATTCTCCAATAAATAAAACGAATACAAAAGAACGTATAGATATATGTATGCACATGTATGTGTACATTTATATATCAATAAGAATTTGCGACTGTCAGTTTGGGTTTGTATAGTTACTTAATATTCGAAATTTATGATAAAAATTAAAAAGTTGGATAACGCCCAAAGTTGCTAAAAGTACTCGAATAAATAGTCATCGAGCCAGCGTGATAAATCTCGAGAGAGTTAAAGTACAGCGAGAAGTCGAAGTTTGCTACAAGCCGACGGCGATATCCAAAAGTGCTCGTATGATAGGAGAAGATAAATTGTCCTTGTTTCAGGCGGGGCAGTGATAACAATACCACCGACGAACGAAACTAAACGCGAGGGTGAAAAAGTCATGTTCTCGTGCGAGGCTAAAGCTTTGCCGGGTAACGTGACGGTGCGCTGGTATCGCGAAGGGGCCCTAATCTCCGACGTCTCGGAGCTGGACACCCGAGCCTCGGTCAAAATGAACGGGAGCCTCGTCATTGATCCCGTGAGAGCCGACGACTCCGGCATGTACCTGTGCGAGGTCACCAACGGCATCGGCGAGCCGCAGACAGCGAGCGCTTATCTCAACGTCGAATGTAAGTTATGATTCAAGCCATAAGTCGATTGTAACTTAATGTAAAATTTGAATGAAAATAGGGGCGGGGGGGGGGGGGGTGGAAATCCTTTTATAAGGTGATGTAATAACTGATGTACATGTACATGTTGGACATTGTACGGGAAAGTTATATATATTTTCGCCTTCTGGTCACTTTTAACTTGCTTTGCTTTGGCCATTTTCAATAAGATATTATATTGAGATAATTAAGTGCTCGATTGTCGGGGTAATGCGTAAATTAATTTCCTGAGAGATCTTAAATTCTTTATCTTCGTCATAAGCCATATGTATGCAGAAAATATAATATAATTCGTTGAATCGAGATGATGTCTATTCGAGAAGTATCATAGAGTAAAAACAATTTGTAAAAATGTAACACAATATATTATCCCATTATAATGATAATGAATCTTTTCCATTACTTCCGTTAATTAATATTATTGATTTATCATTATTAGATAATATATTTGATGAATTTGTGATATTAATTAAATTAATGTAAAATTCTAGCAACAATATTACAGTATATTAATATGAAATTAGCATGAATTACGCGAATAGAACTAACCTAATTATTACATTGTATATTATTAATATAATATTAATTAGAATAATTTCTATTTTTCATTGTATTTACAATTAAATTAAATGTATTTACTTGAAATTGGCGTTCGTTTCTATTTTTAGTAACATCGCAGCATAATTGTAAATAAGACGAGATGATATTTTTTACAAAAGTCTATGAATTAAGCTTCAGGATAATTGTAAAAATAAGCTCCATTGAAAGTATCAAAGCAATTAATATTTTATAAAAATTGATAAAAATAACGAGATATTCACTTGAATTACGCTTGAATGAAAGGAAAGAGAAGCCAATTTGGTTTCGCCCAATTTCGTTATAAATTGATAAAAAAAAAATAGATAAGATAATATGAGATTTAGCAAATTTATTTATAAGTTAATATACGATTAGACAGCTTACGCGTATAAATTGTACAATATACATCTGAACACAATAATAAGATTATCCATCTAACTTTTGATGCAAGCTTTTAACATTAAAATGCAGCATGTATTACCATTTTAATGCCAACCTATATAATTTTACTCTAGTACTAGTGCGAACCACATACATGTTAAGTTATTTAAAGGTTCATACAGATTTGAATAGATCATAAAATGCGTAATCTCTTTATTCAATGCTTCCCTTTACGTATGTAAATTCTAGAGAAAAGTGAAGAAAAAAACAGAACAAATGAGAGAGCGAGAGAGAGAGAGCGAGAGAGAGAGAGAGAGAGAGAGAGAGAGAGAGAGAGAGAGAAAGAGAGAGAGAGAGAGAGAAAGAGAGAGTGAGAATGGGGTAGTAAAGGGGGGAGGGGGTAAAGGAAGGGGGCGGCTAGGTTGGAGAAAAGGAAGAGAAAAAGGGCGGGGGGGTGGGGGGATCCGTCGTATCCGAAGGATCCGGGGTAGGGCATTTTATAGCGTCGATCGGTGCGTCCATAACGGCCAAAAAGCTCGCGACGAAGATGGAGGAGAATGTCGCTTAGCCTCGCCAAATGAAAAGCGTTTCATCGAGCAAATCTCTAACGAAACTTTCTCTCCAAAAATGGCCGAAACGCAGACTCAGCAAAAGTGACGTTCAATCCAACGACCCAGTACCTCCCGTTCCGCATGGCCGGGGTCGTGCACTGCTACATAAAGGCGAACCCGCCCTTGCAGTACGTGACCTGGACCAAGGACAAGCGACTCCTCGAGCCCTACCAAATAAACGACATAATTGTCATGACGAACGGCTCGTTGCTATTCACGCGAGTGAAGGAGGACCACGAGGGTATGTACGTCTGCACCCCGTACAACGCACATGGGACGCAGGGCAGCTCCGCGGCTATGGAGGTGCTCGTTCGCAACCCCCCGGTATTCACTATCGACCCCCAGCCGATGTATCAGCGCAAGGTCAGCGAAACCGTGGAGATGCACTGTGACGCCCAGGAATCCGAGGGTACGGAGAAGCCAATCATCACCTGGCAAAGGGTTAGTATATTTTTACATACTTTTCATTAAAACAGTGAGCCATGGATGCTCCCGCTCGTCGCTCCCTTATACGTCCTCGTAGACGATGATCATTGCTCGTGAAATGGGAATTTCGTCGGAGCAGTCGTCTAGCATAGTACATTCAGCAGGTCGTGAGCCATTTTTTTTTTCTTCGATACTCGCGGCTCCGTACAGTCGTGACACTCATCTCTCCAAATAGTTTGCAACAGTTGATTTATTTATTGGCTCTCCGAAAGCCCAACACTCGCTCGGGCGAATGTTAATACTATTAAAGCACGAGTGTTAGTAATAGTACGCGTGCGTCTAAATTCCTATATTCAATAACAATGAATTTTTGTTTTTGATACGTTAAGGACATTTTGCTGAGAAGATCCATTCAAAGCCAAGCCCATTAACATCCAATCGTTAAATTATTATCAGCTTTTCTATAATCGATAAACCAATAATCGATAACCCACCAACAATAAACCATAATATTTAGCCTTAATATTAATTTGAAACTATGACATTAATACGAATCAATCATACTGAGCGTCTTTCACGAACTTTATCAATAATCTATAATATTTAACTTTAAAATTAATTTAAAACTGCAATATTCGCGTTAATCAATCTTACTAAACGTCTTTCACGAAATTATTAAATCTACGTTGGCAAAAAAAAAAAAAAACAAAACAAAACAAAAAACAAAAAACCAAGGAAAAAAGAAAAAAGGAAAAAGAAAAGAAAAGAGGAAAAAGAAAAAAAGCAGGAAAGAAGTGGAAGGAGAAGAATAAGAATAAGAAGAAGAAGAAGAAGAAAAGAGAAAGTTTGTTTGATAAGTTCGATTCGATTAGATTAATTCGGGCTATATTCAACTCTTTGGAGACCCGACTGTCTCGGGAGTCCCCGGGATAGACTTGGCAACCCCCTCCACTCCCCGCCTACCTTCCTACTAATCCAGAACTGTCTATTAGAGTAAGACTGTAATATTAACTTACAAGAGAATTAATATTAACTCAGATGTAGAGTTAAATTGTGTTCTTACAACATAAATAAGCTTTCTTTTAAGCATAAGCCAATTACTCGTGGGTCGTGTCGCGTACGGCTGTTCTTGAAATTTCGTTAATTTCCATTGCCTCGGTGAACACAGTAATTTTACTTGGCTTACTCAATTATCTTTTAACATGAAAATGAAAATCGAAACATTTTGAATGGATAATTTTAAATGGATAGAGCAGACGTAATCGAATGTGTTATTCGAGTCGCTGTAAATTTCGCAAAAATTCGAATATACTCGTATTAATGTAATATTTTAATTTTTTCGTTAAGTATTAAAAATACAATTGAGAGTGCGCTTGAGTGAGTATTGTTTCTTTGGTTTTGTTCTTTCTTCGTCGTATTGGCCATCTAAACATGTTTACTACTGTCTACACGGATTTTTATGGGACGTAATATTTCACGTTCCCTTAAAATACTGCACCGAAAATTCGATAATACCCTTTATTATATTTTTATTATATTTACTTATTTTATTGCACAATATAAATTTGCGGTTGAGCTCTAAAAATAAAATTTAGAAAAATTTTATTTATTGCCTTGCTATAATAATTTCGGATAATCTAAAAATCTTTCGAAATATATAAATATGCGTGATATTGAAAATATTTCATGGTAGTCAATTGTTGTATTTACGTTTTACGATGTAAAATTGATTATAATTCGGAAATATCAGCCGCAATGTTTTTTACTTTCGTAATTGATTTAAAAATTTAATCTAACTTAGTATAGTTTATCGTGTATGTCAGGCACAATTCATTAGACAAATATAAAATCTATCGTATTTCTTTGGTTTCTACTTTTTTAATTTATCAATCGCGATACTCGAGCTCGTATGTTATTATAAATGTTAAGTAAATTCACGTGATTTTAGAAATGTTAATCGCTTTACTTTACAGCAGCCTCGAGGAAAAGATTTTACCGGTTAAATCGATTAATATTGTTGAAAGTATACGCTTCGATTTTCAATACTTTCCAAAACTTTTTAAAGTGAAAATCCATTGATAAACTAGCCAAATATCTAAATATAAAAGACTAATGGAAAGGACAAAAATATCGGCTCTCTTTAAACGCGACGTAACAGTGGTTATAATCGAAGCGTATAACGCGTTTGGAATTTATAGAAAGACGGTGAGCCATTGCCGCGTAACCGCGCCAAAGTCATCGGTGGCAACTTGACAATCGAGAGCCTGCGACGCCAGGACTTCGGTGCGTACCAGTGCGTAGCAGCCAACGAGGTGGCGACCATAATGAAAACGACGCAACTAATTGTCGAAGGGACGCAGCCGCACGCACCACACAACGTCACTGGAACCGCCGACAAGTTCTCCGTCTCGCTATCCTGGCTACCCGGATACTCGGGCGGACCCGACTATAAACAGGATTACACGATCTGGTAACTAGTAGTAGTAGTAGTAGTAGTAGTAGTAGTAGTAGTAGTAGTAGTAGTAGTAGTAGTAGTAGTAGTAGTAGTAGTAGTAGTAGTAGTAGTAGTAGTAGTAGTAGTAGTAGTAGTAGTAGTAGTAGTAGTAGTAGTAGTAGTAGTAGTAGTAGTAGTAGTAGTAGTAGTAGTAGTAGTAGTAGTAGTAGTAGTAGTAGTAGTAGTAGTAGTAGTAGTAGTAGTAGTAGTAGTAGTAGTTAGCCAACTGACACTCGAGCTCGCACCTGCACTCCTCCTCTCCCTTGGTACTTCGCCCTGAGCGTCAAACCAATCGCGCGGCTCTCGGAACTCTTTCGGCAAACCCTTCCGCCGATCGCCACTCCGATTACACGGACGGCTTCTCTTCATGCGTCATGTAACTCTTCGTATTTCACATCACAAAAGGCTATTTAAAGCACTAATGACGATGGAAGCCTTTATCTATTTCATTCAATTACAATTCATTCAACTGAATAACAACGAACAACGTTTTGTATTAAATTCCTTAAAGCAGCGACGAATTATGTATGACGAAATTAAATTCAAAGTTCATAATTTTCTCGAATAACTAGATCCTTTAACAATAATGCAATTACGATCGAATAGTACAAGAAAATATATTTATACGAAAACATATTGTTTTTAAGAGGAAAATAATGAAATACCAATGTCGTTATTGTAAGAAATGAGAAGCCATTATATATACTTAAATATGCTAAACTGCAATTTTACTTCGTAAAACTATTTAGTATTATTTATTCCACTTCCAGCTTACGTCTCATATTAATGTTTCTGGAAAAGTTCGGAACAAAGTATAAAAGTTCTATCTACGACTTTATTATTGTGGCCAACAAAATATATCCAAGCAAATTGAAGCCCAATATTATGGTAAAAGAAAATGGAAAAAAAAACTCTACGACAATTATGTCAGCAACGTACAGAAATTTCAAACTTATAAAATTAACTTAAAAACGTTTTGCATTTGTATTGATTAGAAGTTATTCGATATGGGCATTTGTAACGATTCAATTCATACAGCCTATCATGTTATATACTGTATGTTAAAGTATCCGTGTATATTTAAAAAAATAAATGTTATTTTCTATTGGTGAATATAAACCGTATTAATTTAAAAATATTAAAATTGTCGCACTTTGATGAATAAATATTCTTTTTTTTTCTTCAAAATTTATATAACAACACCGTTCGTAGTATAGCATAACGACAGATTTATTGAAATTATTTATGAACCCTGATATTCGTACATATATATATATATATATATTTTTTTTTTAAATGTATTTCACTCAATTTTGAAACTTATACTTTTTTTTTTTGTTTTTTCTTTCGTATAAATTACACATTAGAAACGCTTGCAAATCGCTTGTAACAGTTTTATTAGACTATTGATAAATCTGCATATCCATTATTAAATAGTAGAACAAATGCCTTTAAATCTTTATGAACCATTAATCTGAAAATAAATTAACAGCACGAATAAAAGATTCGATTTAGCTGATGAGCTAAATTAGCCCTTAATTATGCAAACACTGAATAATATGAAAAAATAATAACATGCCTCGCCCATAAATATACGATAATTGATTTTTGGAATTAATTTCTGCTTGGAAAGTACATTTTTATACAATAAACATATTGTAGATAAATCTTATGTGTGAAATATTTGAGAAATTTTCACTCGAAAACTGTATTGACCGAAATGCAAGATATTGTGAAATTTCTACAGAATCAAATTGTACAGGAAAATTTGTTGGAATTGGCAGGTATCGAGAAGAAGGCGCTCAAGATTGGAAAACGATTCCAGTAACGCCTTCCGGAAGTACAACTGTAACAATAAGCAGGCTACAATCAGGAACAAATTATGAATTTCAAGTCGTCGGGAAAAATGCTCTTGGAGACGGAATGTTCAGCAAAGTTATAACTGTTAAAACTCTAGGTAAGAAAATAATTATTTTTTAATCTAGTCTTTCTCCAGCCATATTGAAAAAGAAACTATCGTAATATGAGAAAAAGTACGTAATTTACTTTTCTATACATCAAAATTAATGTCTATTTAAGAAAATCCTCGTAATATAACAGGTGTGTTTTCTTTTTAAATGTAAAAAGTTAACTTTTAAAATAATCTCAACATTTCGATACTATTTCTATTATTGTTAATATTATGTTTTGAAGAGTTTTTTAAATCTCACAAAAGACTTGCACTGAATATTTATAATACACCCCCCGTAATATTTGAAAAAATAAATAATAAAAATTGTTGATTAGATAATTTAAACAAAATCAGATTTATCAGAACGCATATATATATATATATATATATATATATATATGCTTGTGTCTCATAAAAAAACTTGTCAAACGTGTTTTTCTTTAAATGAGCGATTCATCATAATATCCATAAATTATGATAAATCCCGCTCATCTTGAAATTTCAGTATTTTTTAAGCATAAAGTATAAAGTACTAAATTGCGTAACACAATTTACAGTCTCTTATAAGAAATTTAGAAACTGAGAACATAGTCCGCAAGTATGATAAATTGCTTATATTTTTAAATTTTATAATTTTTTTCATAACACTACGTTAAACATTTTTTTTATAATAGGCAAATATCACGAGAAAATTATCTTCATAATATCAAAATAAACTGATAAAATATTTTTTTAACATGATGAATTTACAATTCACAGTAAGCACAATATATATTCTTAATTTTGATAATAGTGACATAAAAAAAAAAAAAAAAAAAAAAAATTGAAAATATTTTAATACATGATATGTTTATTCTATTTTTATATTTTTTTAATCTAAACTAAGCTAAAGTATTTTAAGGTAAATATCATTTATCATGCTTTTACATCAGTATTTACTATATATGAAATGTACATTTCGTTGTTGAGGCCGAAAGTTAAAAACTAATATAAAACTTAGTGCATGGTACATATGATCAATTTGTAATTAATTCTCTTTTAATATTATTTATTAATCTTATATTAATAAAAAAAGTAATAACTGTGTAAGCAGAAATATATATAAATATATATATATATATATATATATATATATATATATATATATATATATATTTACATATATATTTATATTTGTATTGAACGCTTACACCGTAAAGTAAAAGAAAATTAATGAAAATTCAAAATTTTAATTCGAAGAAATTACTTTCTTACTTAGCTACAAATTACTTTAAAACGAAAACATTACTGACCTAATTATGTAAAAAGTAAGTTACAATCAATCTTATTATTTAAAAGTAAAGTAACATAATGAAGTCAAACTCAAAAGTTTTTAAATAATACGATTTTTTACTAACTTAAATCCTGTAATAAACAAATTTATAGATAATGTTTCATGTATCACGATAGATATTTTTATAAAGACTATGTTGTTGCAATATAAAATACGTTCATAAATACTAAAAATTAATATTTATTTCATCAAATGTTTATTCATGTTTGTGCAATCACAGATGTCGGATTACAAAAATCGACAATACCAACATCGAGTTCCGGAAATCAGCCATTAGGAGCAGAAGCAGACCAAATCGGTGGTATGTTTCATCAAATCTCATATAATTTAATACTTTATTTTTCAATGAAATAACTGCCAGCAAATAATATTAATTTATATTATTAATGTTTGATGCTTTACGTAGATACATTTATATCAATCAAATTTATTAATAATAAATATCATCTGCTTTAATGCCATTATCAAAAATCATAATCATTTTTCATGCATAAGTAAGACTTCTTTCTTAGGACTTCCTATTATCTTATTTAACTGAATTTCGTTTAAATTTTAATATCTTAATTAAATTACGTTTAATTTATAGATTAATTTTGCTATCCTACACGATATTGGTCTGTAAAAATGCAAACTTCTTACATGCTGTTGTTATTTATAAAACTTTAAAATTGCACTTTAATTTGATATATAAGAATATTCGCGATTGAAAGACACTCGCGTATAATAATCGATATAAAGCACGAAACATATAAAGATATGGTGTGCTCTACACCCGAAAATTCAAATCGCAAGATTTGCCAAGCAAAGTGCCGTACTGTTAAAAGCGTTTCGGAAACAAAGTTCTAAAGTTTGAAAAAGCTCGCCCCCCAGCCTTACAACCAACGGCATTTCTTCTATTCCGTCGCGACGTATCGTATCGACAAACCCATCGAACTATTCGCTCCACTTCCGCCTTTATTTCCTCTTCCTGAATTCGTCGGTTCATTGCTCGACATTTGTACACAATGACGTTCCTTGTATCTTCTTATTCCTTTACACATCTCTTTACTTTGCGTTACTTTGTCATTGGTTCTGACAATTTCCTATCGCTTAGCTTAACTTTTTTCTTTATTTCCCCTGCAATAGCGCCCATGTAAAGAAACAATTAGAGAATGCTTAAATGTATATTGTAAAATGCAAGCATTAAGAGCGATGAGACGAATGAAAATATTGACTCTGTATCATAAAGAATTACGTATTCTTATTGATATTGATCAAATATAATATTTATACGTTTTTCTGAAATGCGAAAATCTCATTTTTGTAACTTTACTGATCGCGCCAGATTAAACCATCGCGATAGCCTGAAAAATTCAAGCCAATACGCTTCTAATCGTATTAATTATTCGTTTCGTTATACAAGATTATTTTGTCGTAAGTATTCGATCATCTTCCCCTCCCCGTTTATCTCATTTTCGATATTTCTCTTTTACCGCATTGGCATTATTAAACGATTAATTGCGATAGTAGTGGTTTTGGAAACGGTATAAAGAAAGCTAAAAAATCGTCGTGGAATGTAATATAAAAGAGGAAAAGGTAGCATAAAAAGTGCGAATATCTAAACAAAAAGAGTATGAATGCTTGAACGAAAAGAACAAAATGCGACAATCAGAATCAGAAGAAAAAAAAGACAAATACAAGCGATATTGGGTATAGAAAGAGGAAAAATAAAAAAGAGAGAATAGGTATAGAGGAGTACGAAAAAAACAAGTAAGAGGGTGAGCAATGAACTTAATCTACTTAAAGCGAGTGCTGCAGTCCACCGAGAACAAAAGAAGAAAGTGAATGATAGCAACCATAGATAGAGATAGAGAGAGAGAGAGAGAGAGATAGAGATAGAGATAGAGATAGAGATAGAGAGAGAGATAGAGAGAGAGAGAGACAATGAAAGAGACAAAGAAAATAAAAAAGAAAAGCAGCAAAAGGGCCAGAGGGAACTTTATGCATTTTAACGAGCCAAAATGATGAAAACAACAATCCCCACGCTAATTTTGATGCGTTAAATCCACAGAGTCTAGGGGGAATCAGCTTTTGCCGCAGGGATATTGCGTGTTATGCTCTTTTCTTAGTTTGCGCTATTGAATTATTTTTGTATATAATACTTTAAAACGGAGAAAAATTTTTTTTTTAAAACATCTTGGTTATGTTTGCACGTATTTTTATAAGCACAATAACAATAAAGGCGAATCGAGCTCGTTAACCGCGAACAATATTTAATAAAATCGTTGGACAGAAAGGATCAGCATTTTTTACCGAATGCGAAGTTTTTCATCCCAATGCCGCTTCATTCGTGAATACCTCGCGATCCAACAAGAAAGTAAAGGAGTATCAATCTTACGCACATTTTTTATTTCACTAAATATTCGTTATTTTTTTAATACAATATATGTATAATATGTATGTTTGAATAATTCATGTGTCGAGAAAAGAATTAAACTTAGTCGTTCCATATTACTATTTTACCAATCGTTCAAAATATAATTCAACAATTTTAATTGAAAAAAAAAATTCGATTTACTCGCAGTTTGAGCACATTTAAATTTTTAAAAACATAAAATCTTCTATTGCATGATAGATCAAAATCATAATTACATTTACAATAATTTCGTTAAAGACTACTGTTGGAAAGATTAGTTTGTGGCTCGAACTGCCAAATTCAATAGTTCAGTTTCATCAGTCTCTCACCTTAGCGATGCTTAGGAAAGGAAAGGACATAAATGGAAGGACTCAAAGTATGTAAAAGTGCGTGTAACTTTGTTTTAAAACATCGTTTATTCTGTTTTATGAACAATTACAATATTGCAGTTCAATGTTCACTTATTGCGGGAGAGAGACAGAGAGAGAGAGAGAGAGAGAGAGAGAGAGAGAGAGCGGAATCGGTCGGAATCGGTCGGAATCGGTCGGAATCGGTCGGAATCGGTCGGAATCGGTCGGAATCGGTCGGAATCGGTCGGAATCGGTCGGAATCGGTCGGAATCGGTCGGAATCGGTCGGAATCGGTCGGAATCGGTCGGAATCGGTCGGAATCGGTCGGAATCGGTCGGAATCGGTCGGAATCGGTCGGAATCGGTCGGAATCGGTCGGAATCGGTCGGAATCGGTCGGAATCGGTCGGAATCGGTCGGAATCGGTCGGAATCGGTCGGAATCGGTCGGAATCGGTCGGAATCGGTCGGAATCGGTCGGAATCGGTCGGAATCGGTCGGAATCGGTCGGAATCGGTCGGAATCGGTCGGAATCGGTCGGAATCGGTCGGAATCGGTCGGAATCGGTCGGAATCGGTCGGAATCGGTCGGAATCGGTCGGAATCGGTCGGAATCGGTCGGAATCGGTCGGAATCGGTCGGAATCGGTCGGAATCGGTCGGAATCGGTCGGAATCGGTCGGAATCGGTCGGAATCGGTCGGAATCGGTCGGAATCGGTCGGAATCGGTCGGAATCGGTCGGAATCGGTCGGAATCGGTCGGAATCGGTCGGAATCGGTCGGAATCGGTCGGAATCGGTCGGAATCGGTCGGAATCGGTCGGAATCGGTCGGAATCGATCGGGAATCTAAGCTTTCGGCCATTCGGCTAAACAGCCTCGTAGAACTCTAAGCCTCGAGAACTCTGAGCCTCGAGAATTCTAAGAAGGTAAATGTAAACATTCAAGGGCTAAGGGGGAAATTAATGTGAAAAAAAAAATGTAAACCGATTGCGACAAACTATGACCTCCACTAAAATGCTTCAATTCCGACAACAACATTTATTCATTATCAATTGATGATTTATAATAATAATTTAAATAAATTATTTTGCTTCAATCATTTTTTTCTATATACGCTTTGTTAATAAGCCGTTATTAGATGCAGCAGTGTCAATCATGCTTATTCATTATTTCTATTGAACAATTAGTATAGAATGTCGACGAATAACGTTTACTTTATTTTACGCAATTTGACGATAATAAAGATAAAGCAGAATATATTTTGAACATTTTTTTTATTATTATTATGGGATTAAAATAAATTACTGTTATTGAGATTTATTGTCTGTAAAATTAGCATTCAAATTTATAAGAATAAAAATTTTATTTTCATTACAAAAAAATTATGTATTTTATATAATTTTATATAAGAGCTATTTGCCGTACTGAATTGAGCTGTGAAAAAAAGAAAAAAAAGAAAGAAAAAAAAAAGCTGTTATCGAATTATCATCATACACATTAGTGAATACATGAGACAATTGTCTTTATAGATATCAAATTTTCATTTATGTTTATTAATTCGCCTTTTTATTATTATGAATTCGCATCGTGATAGCATGGCATTATTTATTTAATCCACATATGTTCGCTATTTCCTATTTTCAATCAACTACACCTGCAATGCATATAATCGAAACATTCGATTTCCATTAACAATAAGTATTGAAATATCTAATAACAATTTGTTTTTTATGATTATATTGTTCAAATTATATAATTTTGCTTGTATAGATTAAATTCATCGCGTATTCTTTAATTGTTCAAATTATTGGCGTTGTTATTATGCAAATGTCACTTTACACATTGAAATTTAGATGAATCGATTATATAATAAACTTACGATGTGGACTAAAAAAAAAAAGTAATAAATGCATGTTTTACATACGGTTAATTCAATTTGTATTTCTTTAAATAATGTTGAGAGTATTTTCAGTAAATAGTATAATTAAGTAAATTGAACAAAGAACAAAAAAACAAAAAAAAAAAAAACAAATTTTTATAATTGTAATGGCATAATTTATTTATTATTTTAGAATGTAGTACATACCGCCATCTAGGTTACATTAGCCCTTAGAATGACATTAGCCTACACGTAAAAATTTGCTTGTTTACGTTATAATTGCTTAATGAAACAATAAGTCCAATGATTATTATGTAATTATTCAATTGTTTTTATTTTCGTTAAGCAAATATAACATGAGGACATATTCTTACAGGTGGGCTAAAGTTACCTTTAAGGAGCAAAGACAACCAAGCTGACGGTGGGTAGAGGACAGTAATTTACAAAATCATATAAAAGTCACGTTTAATGATTATTTTAATCGATGCCAATTTAGGACCAAGGCCTGGACCTCCAAGGAACGTATCTGTCGCGGAAATAAGTAATGGATTTCTTATAACCTGGATGCCTCCTCTTGAGAGGAGTCATCTTGTCAAATTTTACACCATTAACTTTAAAACCGACGGACCATGGAAAACTCTTAATAAGGGTCAAATTCGACCAGAAGATACAAGTTATCTGAGTAAGTTTGTTTCATTCCATTTTCAATAATATTATTAATGCACAAGCGACGAGTACAATCGGCGCTTTATCGATTCGAATCCTTAACACCGTAAAACTATATTCCCCCGTAAGAAGTTTCCTAGAAACTTATTTGAGTATTTCAATACAATTGAATATTTAAAAAAAAAAAAGTTTTTTTTACGGTACGCATTAAACTTATATTATTCTTATTGTACAATATAATTGACATAATAGTAATTTCACAAACGTTTAACATCTTACAAACGCTTTACAACTTCATTACATTAGTCATAATTAAATTAATGTAATTTATCTATACATAATCCGTAAAAACATCCATAGCCAAAATAATTGAAATGCGTTATATAATTTTGATATATTATATTATATATACGTTATAAAATATCAAGCATTTCGATAAGAAGATGAAATTCTTTTATTAACGGCAGAACTTTTAACTTTAAATGCAAGCATCTAGACTGTTTGTTGACATTGTTAGTGCAATCGTGTTGGACCGGGATCGATAAACCGCCAGTCTCGCAATGACAGGCGGCCAAAGCATTATTTGATTGGACGAATGCGCCAACCTTACCAATACCAATGCCATTCGCCCTTATTTTCAGTGAAAAACTTGGTCGGCGGCAGAACGTACTATTTCGTTGTTTTCGCCAACGCAACGGACAGTGCCGGTGTGAGCGATCAAATAAAATATTCCGTGCCGGCACGCGTCAAACAAAAAGCCATAACTGCCGGCGTAGTCGGCGGAATCCTCTTTTTCATCGTCGCGATAATCCTTAGCATATGCGCGGTCAAGATCTGCAACAAGAGAAAGCGACGAAAACAGGAGAAAGGTATGGTTACTCGGCATTTTATGCACTTTACAACTCTTCGTTATAAATTTTGGTCCGCACTTACGTTGGTCATTGTAAACATCGTTTCTCGTTAATTTATTATTGCTCTGAAGTTGGATCGAGTCTAATAGAACGAGTAAAGTTAATAATATAACTTGGATTAAGAATTTCAAGTACAAATGCATCGATTATCCACGTTAAGACTACATACTTTTCTTACCTCGTCAATATCAATTTCATTTTAAACTAAACTAATTTTATTACATTAGCAAATGTGACTTATAGAGAAATACGTTGCAATTAAAATGTTCCCATTTTTCTTGTTTTTCGTCTTTTTTTTTTTTTTTTTTTTTTTTTTTTTTTTTTTTTTTTTTTTTTTTTGTCACATTAATAAAATAAATTCACATTAAAATAATCATTAGTAAATTCATAATACTGCATAAATTGTTTGAACGCCTGCATTAAATTATCCGTATTTATCCTATGTATTTAATTGAACTTTGACGAAATAAAGCAGATAATATAATGGAGCAAAGAGACGTTAACATGAAAAAATTCATAAAATCAAAAAAAAATTCAAAGGATTGTTCCACGGAACTAAAGATACAGCCTTTTTTCATAATACTTAAATACTTTAATTTACTAGTTCTAATGACATAATTTCACGCGAAAGCTACACCGACAGCTAACGAGCCTATTGATTCACGAGCATTCAATCTTGCCTAAAATAATCTTGAAAACAATGAAATAATTTAAATAATAAAGGAATTCAATTTAGAGCCAAGCGCACATTATTATATTAAAATTCATTTTTATAAAAGCAATATTTATTACTTTAATAGTATTCATTGCTACGCTACAAGAGCCGGATAGTGAAAAAATTAAAAGTTTCTAGCTGTATTAACTTTGAGCGTTGCACGACCAAATATATATATATGAAATTAAATAAAACGGTAAAACGAGAAGCAATGTACGCGTGTGTAAGTATATGGAGTACGGACCGAGACAACCCGAATCCTGGAAACCGTAAGAGTCCCTTTTAACATAGTTTTGTAATATTGTAGAACTGCTTTCAGCGTATAACATGGTGACCTGCCGGGTAACGGACGCCCGAAATGGCGCAGGGCAGGGGCCCCAGGGAACAGTGCCTTTGAAAAAGTGAGTTTCTCTATGTGCCATCCTTGACTACAAAATATCCTCCTAAATAATAACGTAGAATTAAGAGTTGCGCTCAATATATTTGAGGAGCATTGTGAGATTATTATCGATAAGTTATAATGAGATCGTACTTGCATTGATTATTGCGCCCTCGTGATGAATTTCAAATGATTTCAATGACGTAGTTGAAAACTTTTTGACTATGTTAATTATGTCAGTATATGTAAAGTAAGCCGGTATGAGTATGGGAAATTCATTGCGAGTGATTGTTGAACATTGTAATGCGAATTACATAACTACAATATTAGAAGAAAATAGTTAAATTATGTAAATAATCACCCAAAATTATCGCCAATTGATACAACTTTTGTCATTTAGCTATATTTAGCGTTCGTTATATATTATTTGATTGATTCAAAGTAAAAGCAAATTCAATTACGTTCTCATGACTGTCAGAATATAGTTAAAGGTGTAGGGATTAAGGTTAAGAAATAGGAAAGAAAAGCACCGCAGTATTCGTTTTATCTTTCACTAGACTAATATAGAATTACTAAAATTTCAATACATACAATTTGCTAGATGAAAGAAGATAAAAATGTTGAAAATTAATTTAATGAAATTAAAATGGTAAGATTTTAATTGAAAGACATAAGATAATTATTGTTAAATTGTATAGCAATTATTTTCTTTCATCTTCTTTATTTTAATACTAAAAAGAATAAAAATTTAGAGTAGACTTATTACTAATGTTAGAACAGGTGAAGATTAATCGAACCAGCAGAGGTATTTTGGACGAAGACGAAATATTTACGTACAAGATTATAAAAAAAAGCACGAAATAAACCATTTTAAAATAAATTCAAGATTTTACAATTGTGAATTCTTTGGGTTTTTTTTTTTTTTTTTTTTTTTTTTTTTTTTTTTTTAATGGTACAACTACAACTAAATTTACTACTAAAATTACTACTAAATTTACTACTAAATTTACTATTAAAATAAAAGTAACTTTTATCATTAATACAATGTTGCGCAATGTATCCGCTAATTTTCACTAATCATATGCCAAGATTATCATCTATTAATCTATTCTTTTTATTGAGAATGTAGAAAAGAAGAAAGAAAATACATTGATACGTTACGTTTTACTGACAGACGACTTAGTAGTCATATTTCACCCACTTTTATCATTTTTCACAAGTCGGATTGAAACATCATAACCCCGATTTGCATCGTCGAAATTCATTCGTTAAAGAGTCGAGTACATAAATAATATATTTATATATTTTGAACGGCATCCAAAAGTCCACAATACGACTGCAGCGATGCCTATTCTGGATTACAATATATTTTCTTTTCTTTATCTTTTCTTTTCCTGTATTTTTCTTCTTTTCGTTGTATAATTTAACGCCGTGACTCTCCTTATATATAGCGGAAAAAATCTTTTGTTATTTTTGGTTTGGTTTCATCTTCTTAAGAGCCAGGAAACTATTTTTTATTTTTCGTTACGTTGTCGAAAGTCTTACACGTTATAGCCATTCCCATTATTTTACCAAATACTTCAATCGTAGTTTTTAAATATCATTTGTCCATTAAAAACTTTTAAATTTATTTTCATTGTCTGGATCTTAAGAAGTTTTTTTAACGTTGTAATATTATATATATATATATATATATATATATATATATATATATATATATTGTATACCCGAGGTCGAAGGATTCCCTTGCAGATCCTCTCATACTTTACATCCTTTCTCCTTCTACCTCGCGGTAAATGCATGAAAATTGATTATCGAGCTATTGCGATCGTCATTAATGATCACTAAGTAAAAAAGTCGACTTTAATCTTAATATAAAATTTACATTGTTCGTTACATCTTTTTTATTGCATTTAAAGTATCCAGAACGGGCTGTACGGTACAGATTAAAACACATGTTTTGGCTGTACGATTCATCAAACCGATATTATTTGTCATTTATTTGCAAAAAAGGTTGTAAAATTAATCGCAGGCTTGCATTTTATTAGATTCAATTTTTGAAAATTAAACTCTACAAGAAGCAATTTTTCATTTCTTAATGATAATCTAAGGCTTATAAAATAAATTTTAATAATATCATAATGATACGGCATTGAGTTTATTTTAAATTCATATTCTTTCATTTCCTTATTTTATAGTCAAAACAAGATTAATTCAATTAAAAAAATATATCAACAAGCTTAGATTATTATGAACAGATTATAATATTCTATTGAAAATTTAAAAGAGCAGTAGGGTCGAAACTCAATGTTAAATCAACTGTCTCGTTATTTTAACTACGAATTGCAGCACAATAATTTTGATAATAATAATATTGAAATTGTGCTTATGGTTAATTTCAATATTTTATCATGTAGAACGTTGCATAATTGCAACGTGACCAATTGCAAATGATCGAGGAGAATGTAAGTAGTATTGGGAGAGATTGAAAATTTTTGCAAAGCCTCCCATTCGCAGTTAAAATTCCTTCCTAGCAAAAACTTGAACGCGATAAAGAAAAATTTTTAATAAATATTCGTATCAACTGAGAGATTAACAAATTCGTGATATGATTGGCAGAAAAAGAGCAAAACCTCGGTGAATTAAGAAGCTTAAAGTTGCAAATGTAAAAATGCTATTGAAATGTGGCTAGGGGTAAGGCAAAAAAAAAAAAAAAAAAAAAAAAAAAAAAAAAAAAAAGGTAAACGAGCAGTTTCGACTTTACTCTCGGGCCAGAAAAAAAGCCAATAAACTAGGCGATAAAATGCTTCTCCGACTTGAACTTGAATTTCGTTAGTGAAAAGAAAAGCTAAAGAAATAGTAAAGAATCAATGCTTGGACTGACACTACGTGGTGTCCCTTTTGCCCTCTTGTATGTTTCCATAGGTCGACAAACTTAAACGCTTGCGGCGAGTCAGTGTCGACGCTGACCCGTTGCAGCACGTTGAATCCGCAACCACCACAACCTCTTCATCAACCACTTCCTACGCAAGTAACCCCCGCCACCACCGCCACCTCGGAGCCGATTCACGATCAGCCGGTACCCCCGAATCGTGATCGTGATCATCACACACTCCAACTCGATAATCGGGATTTCGACAGCGTGTTTATCATAGAGAGGCGGAACAGTAAGCCCAACATCCGCTAAGAGCCCGACCAGACCAGATTATGAATATATAATAATAAAAGCACAGTCAGTAACGCCCAGACCAGTCCCAGATCACATTTAATGAAACATACACTCGACCACCCGACTCGATACTTGAGAGATAACCTAAACGTGGCGGAGGATATATCGTTGTGGGAGACAAAGCCAGCCCACTGCGAATTGTTACTGTATTTTACCTACACTACTTTAATTAACGAATTCACAACCACTGTGACCGCCATTACTACTTTAACGAACAATGAAAGATTGACGGTAATGCGAGACCACTGCTTCTTCGCTCTGCAATGCTACCTGCTAGAATCTAATCTACTTTTATTACCGCAATGATAAAAACAATACAATATGAAAAGTACTACTGCTCTATCGTCATCACCTATCGCCTACTTATTATCTGCTACTACTTAGGATGATTATAGGATGAAAACAATAGATGAGATGAGCGATACAGGCAAAACAGCTGTAGGACTGTCACTAGTTCATCCAGTCAGTAACCTACGTAATTTTGGCGGCTTAGGGAGTACATAGATAGAATCATTCAACACAATCATTCACATCAAGGCAGTAGATAACAGATTTTCTTATACTTTCATCTCCCGCATTTTTCATTCATTATTTTAATTTTTTATTACTAACAATTTTCTCTTTGAATGCTACGCTTTACCTCGTCTGCTGCTCTTCACCCAATAGTTTTTAATGCGCTATACGACGACCAATTATCTTTATCTAACACGTAGTGTAATTTTCATGAACGAAGGTCTTAAAGACTCAATGATTTTTTATGCAATTGGAAATTAATTGTGGCTATTTAATACGAGTACTTTTAATACGAGTCGTAAATATCATTGCAATACAAAAGCTAATTGACTATCATGAATTATGACAAATAATTGCAATTCTCAAAAATTATTTCAACTTCTTGTACGCAATGGATAGACAAATTTCACTCAATAATAAACGCGCCTTTCGTCTGAAAATCGTTATCTAATTAGTCTGTCTAAGCTCGTTTTATAGATGACTCATAACAATTTAAACGTTAAATTAAAAATCATTTCTTTTTCAGTTATCATTATTACCTTTTCTTATTCACTCAATATTTTCGTAGCAACTGTAATTTCTTATTTTTTAATTTAATTTTTCTTTCCCATTATTTTCAGTTTCTTAGTACTCGAAGATTCATATAACATGTAAACACAGAAAAAAAAGAAACAAAGTAGGTGCAAACATTTTCTCGCGATAACTGTTTGCACTTTAGCACAAACAAAACACAACTCTTCTCTTCACTTTAATTCATATTTTATCTTTTATCACGTTCACTTAGATAAATGTTTTTACTAGTTTTAAGGAATGAGTTTTTTTGTATTTGATAATTTACTTAGTATTTCACGAATATCACTGGGCATGTTCTTTATTTCTTAAACGGCACTGACAATTCTTAAACACAACTTACTTATTACCTAGATTTTATAATAATAATTTTGTTTTATTTAAAAACCAAAAGCTCATTTCCAGTTGGTTATTTTTCTTATATAATTTTTTTATCTTGTAATAATTAATTAGTTTTTACAATTTTTTCCCTCCTAAATTCAACCTCTAAATAGTAAAAAAATCTTATTCCTTCAGTATTTTCGTACTTTGATTGTGAAGATTCTATTTTACTTTACCGAAATACAAAAACATATTAATTTTTAATACATTTTTCGGTTTTTTGTTTTGTTTTGTTTTTTTGTTTTTTTTTTTTTTTGTTTTTTTTTTGTTTTTTTTTTTTGTTTTTTTGTTTGTTTTTTTGTTTTGTTGTGTTTTTGGGTTTTTTTTTTTTTTAACTAAACGAGAATTCTTATCAACGCATAATTATAACTAACAACGAACAATTATAATTCATCAATTTATTATTGAAAATAATGAAAGCTCTCGACGTACAGTATACTCGATATCTATTTGCTCCCTAGATCAACTGCCCCTAGAATTATAGTTTAATTATTTAGCGTTATATTTATCATTATTACCACTATCGTTTTTGTGAATGTAATCGTTGTGTTACAACATTCTCTCTCTCCCTCATTTTCCCTGCTGCCGGACTCGAAGGAGGAAAAAAGGTGACAACATTCGGAACACCTAAAATTACGATTGCTATTGGATAATAAATATTTTTTCAAAAATGGAATGACAATTAATGAACGAGACGAATTTGTTATGACAATTTTTGAAATAAAATATTGCAAATTGTTCACGAGTGGACAAAGAATCTTTGAAAAGAAAAGATAATCCACGATCACTTCCACTTCACTCACCCGGCAAGAAAAACCTGTCACACCCAACAATTTATTTAGTACATTGCACCGAATGCCTATGCGCATGTTTTCCTTACCTAACCTGCATCTGAAGTGTTTGTTAGTTGAATTGCAATGTATGTATCATAATTAAACTTACATTACTCTATAATTTATTTTAAGTTTAATCTATTACTTTTATCCCATTGCCTTATTATTGCACGTTAATGTTGTATAAGCGTCGATATTAAAGCTTACAGAGTTACATTTTTCCATACCGTACGTAGAACATTTTATTAAAATTTTTAGAGATTTCAATGTTCAAATCTATATAACATATATTATTGCAATTATTTAAAAATCAACGAAGCAATTAATATGGACATCTTGGATTTTGCTTGTTATCTCGCGCGAAAATATCATTCTACGTGAACAGCTTTCTAATCGTTGACAATATTGTGCTTGATTTACAACTAAAATCTTAAACTTTTCCATTAAAATTGCAAACAAATAGCAAGAAAATTTCGAATCAATAACCATCGCCCGAATGGCCTAACAATCATTGGTCTAAGAACAGAGTTTTGCAACATTTCAAAGGCATGAAATTGTAAGATGTGCAATGTTGAAAGGGCCGCACTCTGTAAGCTCGTATCGACACTACGACGGAAATTTCTCAACCACGAGGCTAACACTCCTCTTCCATATGTCCACGAATGTAGATCTAGAAAAAGCCGAGTACCAGGTCTGAGCCTTCTACGGGAAATAATCAGCCCAGCGACGCCGGATCTTAGCCGCCGCTGCCGGCCACTCGGGAAGATCAGCCGAGCAGCCGACGGGCGTTTCGTCATCGCAGACTCGGTCATGTCCTCGGCCAACAACAGCATCCTCGATGCCTCGAGCAGCGACGACGGTGGCTTTCTGCCGAAGCAGCACCACCGTCTCAAGTCCTCTTGGCGCCGGCCCCTCGTCGGCACCAGCCAACTAAGCCTGCGCTCCGAGGGCAGCGGCCTCTCGATCGCCCAAACCCCCAGCGGTCACCACCTCCTCGACGGTCCGATAAATCCCCTTGGCTGCCCGACCCTCGGCCCCGATCCCGCTGTCTCGCCTCGTTTCCTCGCGAGCTCACCCAGCCAAGGACCCCGGTCCGCCCCCTGGACGTCGCCCGTCTACCTGAGCGACCTCAGCTCGGTACGTCAACCAAACTCCTCCGTGGAGCGAAGCGCCTCGGCCTTCCCGACGCCGCCGAGTTATATCCAACTGCGCACCGTCCACCAACGCTACAGTCAAGAGCTGCCCTCGCTCAAAGCCATTCACGCGGAGTCTCAGCGCTTCGCGCCGGTGCAACCGCTGGCGACGTCTTCGCCACCACAAACGGCGGGCCGACCCCGGGCTCGCTTGCCTCCGAGGCACGCGAGGCACGCGCGTTCCGCTCCCGAGCTCGCTGCCTCACCTGACCTCGAAACATCCCCGGAGAGCCGCTCCAGTAGCTCGGGTTTCGGTAGCAAGAATACCTCCCAGCAGAACCAGAGCTCCCGCAGTGGCAGCACCGTCGCCGAATGGCGGCCACCCCCGTACCGGCCTCCGCCCCCGCCACTCTCCGTTGGCCGCTGGCTCGAGCTCCAGGACCAACACCATCCGGCACTCAAGGCCGCCCTCAACGCCCAAAGCGCGGCCAACGGGGACGCCGGCAGCGTCGACGGCCATTACGAATTCGATCCAGTGTCCTGCACCCCGACGCCAACTACGGCCTCGACGCCAACGCGAGAGGAGCGGCCCCCGGTACACCAGATGCACCACCAACTGCCGCAGATTCATCAAGTGCATACGGCGCAGCAGAGTGATCAGCAGCCAGCGAGCGCCCGCTACTCCAGGGACAACATCGAGGCTCGGGTCCAAGCGATGAAGGCCGAGTTTCACCAGTTCAGACAAAGACAGGCTAAGAGGCGACAGAGTGCCCATCTCGAGAGCGCCTGCTGATCCTCGGGAAAGTACCTCGCCCACGATGAAAGGGCTCCTCTTATATCCGACAGTTCGGTGGTAGAGGGCGCGACGAGGATGTACGAGACTTCCGACGGCCCTACACTCGCTCGACTCATCAATTACGTACGCCCTTTTACTGATTGGGAGGAGATAAGACTCGGCGGACGATGCTTTGCAGAGGCTACCAAAAACCAAAACGAGCGAATCGATAAAAATATGTTCGTCGGCGAGAACCGCGACGATCAGAATTGTCGATACGATTTGGTTACGTATTCGCGGCTGGGCGTGCGAGCGCTCACACACACACACACGCGCGCGCGCGCGCACGAGCACCGACACAAACACCCACTCATAAAATGCATAAAATGCAAACGAATAAAACGGTCGAGGCTGATAATGAAAAATACTCCAAAGATACTGTACCACGTACGTGCTGTATACCTTATTAAATGCAAAACGAACAGTAAACCACGTCTAACCCTAATGATAAACTGTAAGTAAGCATTAATGAAGAAAATGAAGTAATAAAAGAGGAGAGAAAAAACATCTATGGCTATGGCTATGGCTATGGCTATACGTTTGGCGTAATTATAAAATAAGCAAATAAAAATTATTAATAAAAAAAAAAAATTTAATATTTATAGAAACACGAAGAAGAAGATGAAGAAGAAGAAGAAGAAGAAGAAGAAGAAGAAGAAGAAGAAGAAGAAGAAGAAGTAGAAGAAGAATAAGAGTAAGGAATAAGAAATAAGAAATAAGAAATAAGAAATAATAATAAATAATAAATAATAAATAATAAATAATAATGAATAATGAATAATGAATAATGAATAATGAATAATAATAATAATTAAATAATAAATAATAATAATAAATAATAATGTGAAAATACACGGGAAGACAGACGGACAGATACACACCATCAACCACCCACCCACTCACCAATCCACACAAGCGTAAAGACACGCTCAAACTCAGCACATATTTTGCCACAATCACTTTAATTAAATAAATACAACAAATAATAATGAGCAATGGACTCGAACCGTGATATTAGGCCGAAGTTTGCCTCGAGATTGCTTAAGAACTCACTCGTACTGCACTGCCTGTTTAGGGTTTCGCTAGTGACCCAACATTTTATTGGCACAATAATTTTTCTTAAGCAATGTTAAACAAGAGAACATTTAAGTATTAAGCGACGATAACGTTGAACAATTAACTGGAAAGTAGGTAAAGGGCGTGAGATTCGATGCGTGGTATTGACAAATTATGGGGCTGTCGCTACAGCTGTAACCAAGATCCGCAATGGAGGACGATGAGGTCAATTTGTCTATTATAAATTATAGGCGAGCTCTTGAATAAAGAGATCATTTGCAAGAAAAGATGAGAAAAACGAAAAAGAAGAGTGTGAGATTAAAGATATAAAGATATAAATAGGACGATTGTGGTGCGGAGCTATCGAGAATGACCACACAATGGATTCGCTCGCGTAAAACTCTAACATACTCGAAACGCTCGGGGATAATTACTTTTACTTTTCTTTTTATAGTACAAAATCTTATTTATATTTAAGCCGATATCTTCGATAGTTCATTAGTAGACTGTACAATTAGCCGAAGGCTCTACTCACGATTCAACTATACACATTGACGAAAATTAATGAAAATGATAATGGCGGACAAATAAAATTAGAGAACAAACGCATTGGAGATCTGGTGACTGTGTAAAATTACGGAGAAAACGTGAAAATAAGGACAAAAAAATAATTAAATTGAATGATAATGAAACTAGGGAGAATCAAGCGAGATGCCTGAGTGAGTGAAAGTATAAAAAACAAAGTAGAAAGTGAAATAGACAGACAGACAGAGAGCGAGAGAGCGAGAGAGAGAGAGAGAGAGAGAGAGAGAGTGTGTGTGTGTGTGAGAGAGAGAGAGAGAGAGAGACGGAGAGGAAACAAATGTCGAATAGCAATTGTATTAAATAGAGAAAATTATTAAAAACGAGACGACACAAAGAGTACCAATATTCTAAAGTAATTCTAATAATTGAATTAATAATTTGATAATTAATTGATAATTGTAAATCATAATGATGTAGCGCGTAGTGTTATTAATCGACATTGAAGATATGGTCATGAATTAAAAAATATTGTGAAAATGAACTTATGTTTTTAATAAATAGAGAAGGAAAGGATGAAGCCGCGAATACAAAATCGCCTGTTGCCGTTGTATCATATTAATGACTAAAGTACTGATTAAAAACAAAAAAAAAAAAAAAAAAACAAAAAAAAAAAAGTGAAAATGAGTACCGTTTGTTTTCAATAACGTATTAACAAAAACAAAATGAAAAAACAAAAAAATTCCAAAAGAACGAAGAAAGGATAGAGCATGCGGAAGTAAACGTGAATCTACTTTAACGATTTAAAGTTAAATATTTTTCAAATTTATTTCAATATTTGTGTGTGTCTCTCCGCTCTTCTATTCTTCCTTCTTTGTTACGAGGGACGGCCTCACGATTATCGTAAGCGAAAACTAAATTACGAGCGGAGATATGGCGAAAGGGGGGGGGGGCGGGGCAAAAGGAATGGAATATCCGATGGAATATCAGATGGAAGGAGTAGGAGAAGAATATACAATGAGGAAAGCATAAGAGGAGAATCGGTGAAGCTCCGATCGGCGGATAAGCCACTGAAATTCTCAACGTCGCCTTACCATCTCGCTTATCTTCGATATCGAGATAATCGTAATTCGATTTTCCTCCTTCAAGCGACACTCACTGCGAACAATGCAAATTTAAAATTTCATTAAAGGGGAAAATATAATCACCAAAAAATTCTCTCCCCAAGTGTTTTCCTCTCATCTTGTAATAGATAAACGATAAAAGCGTACATAACAATAAGAGTGTAGATATATCATAGTTAGATACAACGATCTCAAACGTCGCACATGTTTCGCTACTGAATTGAATGAGACGTAAATGGAACGTAAACGGAAGAAGATAAAACAATTAAACATAAAGTGAAAAAATCTTAACGGTCGCCCTATTAAGCATATTACATATACACTTACACCAACATCGCGTAAAAGCATTAGAATATCGCGTGCTAGGAGAGAACGATTATATGGTTGAATCGTGACTGACTATGTTATGATAATAATGACTATGTTATGATGATTCAGTAATGACGCACACTTTTCCATCCACCATCTATTCTTGTTATTCATACCTTACATTTTACGTTCTCCTTCTCATAGCTCATTTATTACATATATGTGTGTGTGCGTGTGTGTGTGTGTGTGTGTGTGCGCGCGCGCGCGCGTGTGTTTGTGTGTGTAAACAAAAAGAAAAAAGAAAAAATATTGTACGAGTATAATGTAAAATCGATTGTGTAAGAAAGCCATGCTTAAGACTTTTAAGAACTGTTGCATAGAAAATTCATACAGCTATTGTAAGCAAGTATTTGTAATTTAGAAAGACTGTCAAATTCATTAACAATCTTATGAAATTTACTGCTGTACACGTAAGAATTGGATAACTTCATACTGGTATTGTCGATTACCGAAAACTTGTAAATAGCAAATAGTTATAGTAAGAATCTACTATAATTTCTTTTCCAAATTCGTACCAAAGATTACCACTCACGCGAATAACATTCAATTGCAATAATATTGATGTCATTTTTGCAATAAGCGACATTTTCCATATTTTATTATTTATTTGAATTAAGAAAGATTTAATGATACTTTTCAAACTTATGATTTGTTCATTTAAATAAGATTATTATTTATAACGGCGTTTCATCGTGCGCTTTATAATAAAATGCCTTTAATGAATAATGAATTACATAAAAGGAAAATAAAAATTTTTAAAACATTCGTGTAGCTTGGTGAAAAAAAAAAAAAAAAAACAAAAACAAAAAAAAACAAAAATGGAATTAAATATAATGATTAATGTAATAATTGAATTATACCGAGTCAATTGTAAGAAATTTTAAATTTTACAAATGATTATTACTTTATCTGTTGTAAGCTTCCTATGCATTATAATTAAATATTCATAATTTTCTGACTTTGGCAATTGTAGCAAAATCTATGACTGTATATTTTGGGTAATATTATTGTAATATTTTTCGATGATTAACGCATTTAAGGCTTAAATTGGAAGAGAAATTTTCTTTAAATATACCATTGATTTTCTTACACAAACGATTCACGAACTTTACTATTTTGTAATATTTTCCGTTCAATCACCTATGCGCACATGTACACATACACATGTATAAGTATTCCGCCGATTATATATATATATATATATATATATATATATATATATATATATATATATATATATATATATATATAATAATAATAATAATAATAATAATAATAATAATAATAACAATAATAAAAATTAATTTATAAAATAAAAAACGCACGATGGCATTATCGATGAGAGTATTTATCGTGGATATCGCACGTATTTCTAATTTCTCGTAATTATAGGGGAGAACGGCCGCGTTAGTGTACCGCTTATAGCGCAAAAGCGCTTTTTTAACGTATTAAGTCAGTGTGATAACTAGTTGAAACGTTAAATGAGTAGGAGAAAATTTTTCTACACGGTGATTACTCATAAATGTTGTGTTTACAGTGACAGCTCCGAGCGACAAATTAAGCAATGAGAAAACATGAAAATGTCTATAAAAAACAAACAAACAAACAAACAAACAAAAACAAAAAACAAAAAAAAAAACAAACATACCAATATAAATAAAATAAAGCCTTCCGTGGAAACGAGAGACTGTACGCGGGATGCGCGGCTCGTGTCTCCTCGACAAAAATGAAAACCGACCAATTATAAGATTGTGCAAAAGACACGTAGCGACACCACGATATAAGAGTAGCATCCGCGAGACAGACAGAGAAAGCCGACACAAGTCCTACGTTATATGTAAAGCGATATGAAACATCGTGCGTGAAAATTTCTAGAATGTTTTTGCGAATGGAGTGCGTTTTTCCAATGCCGTTGGCGATCTGTATAAAGGACAAATTACGAGATTGTGGAAGTATCAATCGTAAAAACCTGCTAAACTTGCCC